CCCCCCGGGAGATGTTTACTGTAATGAATTCGCGGGATCGCCTCCGCCGCTCCCGCGCTCCTCCTCTCCCCTCGGTCCCTCGCGCTCTGGCGCTCTCCCCTTCTCAAGCCCTCTTTCCCTCCCGCCTTGCCACCCTCCCTCTCCGAGTCCCTCCCACATTTCTGCTTTAAAGAATGCTTGGGAGGCGCGGCTGCAACCCAAAGCTTTCCAAGAGGCAAAGTCAGGCTTGGCTTTTAACCCTGTCTTCCCTGAAGTGAGTTGCAGGGCGCAGAAGCCAACACAGCGGCTGCCACCCTGGCCCGGCCTCCTCTGGCCCTCTCTCTAGCCCGCACCCATCCCCATCTCTTAGGGGTAGTGCCTGCATTTTGGAGCTCAAGGTCGGTTCCTCCCCCAACTCCCTGCCTCGCCTCATACTTGAGGTCGCAATGATGTAGTACTTAGAAATTGTGAAACGATCAAAACAGGAGATTGGGGGTAAAATTGAACAAGCCTCTCAACCAAGATGGCGTTATTTCAAATGCATGCAGTCTTCCTGGTGAGCCCACCACCCAACCACCAGTTTTCTGATCCCCAGACCTCCTTGAATTCACTTTAATCGGGAAAATAATCCAGAGTGAAATAGGATGAGGTTAAACACCCCACTCCTCTCCGCTGCTCGAAGGCTGGTGGGGAGAGCATGCTGATTTGAGTCCCTGGTAGATTGCAGTGGTCTCCCCGATTCAGCCTTCAAACATTTCGGAAGCAGGTTCGACAGCTAAAGAAGCCTGATGTGTATACAGGCAACGTTTCCACTTCGCAGTCTGTTTGCAACGGGGCAGGGGGGATGTTGCAAGAAAAGCAGGCGAGGTAAAAGACAACAAGAAAAGAAAATATTCTGGGCTTCCCCCTCTCGCGTTCTAGCCGCTCCTCCTGGCTCCAGTAAGTTGCTGTCACGTTTTAACAAGTCCGGAGAGAAGCTGAGTCTGAACAGAAGAGGGAGAACGAGCCCGCACCTAGCGCCTGGCTGAGCTGAGACGCGCCGCCAGGGGAGCCCCAGGAGAAGGGGTCGGATCCGCGGGCCTGAAAGTAGCCAGGGACTCACTCCCGAGGGATCCGCGCGGTTCTCAGACTCGTGGCGGAGGTCTGGGGCGGTGCCCGCACCCGAGAAGGGATGATTTCCGGACGCGCCCCTGGCGCGACCACAAGCTCAAGTCCTCGGTTCAAAGCCTGAGTCACTTGGCTCCACTTCTCGGATTGTTTTTATTTCCTTCTCGCCCCTGTTGTGTCTACCGCCTTCCCCTATGTGAGTGCTTAAGACGTGTTAAAAAGACTTGGAGAGACGCCGATTTGCCTCCCAAGCACAATCCACGTACGGATCCACCCAGACGCGCGCCCGCGCCGAAACGCACGAGGGCACACGCGATCACACGTGCGTCCGCGCGCGCGCGCGCGCAAACACACACACACAAGCACACACTTCCCGGATTTGTGCATCTAGAGCTTAAAAAGTGGCTGAGGGTATGTTTTCGCTTTCACGTACATAGCACGCCTTCCCCCGCTACTCCGTGTGTGGCAAATATATCTGGGGAGGGGACTCAATTGGGGGCGCTAATCGGCGGGGGCAGACGGAGAACGAGGGCCATCTTGCTGGGAGGTTGGTGGAGCAGAGCGCTGGTGACGACAGCTGCGGGGGACTCGGCTCTCACCAGCAGCCGCCTCCGGTGCTTTTGGAGTTGCAGGGGCACCAAGTGTGGGACCAGCCGCCAATGCTGCCCAGTTCCCCGCAGGCTCCCCTCTTCGGCCGAACGCTCCAACCTTCACCACCCTCCTCCTCCCCCCGCAACCTTGATCTTGGGCTTGATTACAGAGGAGAAAGGACCGCGCCGGCGCTGAAAGCGCAGGGGCAAGCCCCGGACTGGCCAGTGCGGCGGAGGGATCTTTCCAGGAAGCTCCTAATTCTGCGCTCCCGCGGGGACATGGTGACAGCTGGCAGCGCCCTGCTCTCGCAACCCTCCTGGCAGCCTTGCCCAGGCACTAGGCGCCTTAGGACCTTATCTGTCCTCCTTGCCGCATCGCACGCACCCGCCCCCGGGATGAGTGACCCCAGCCGGGCCTCCAGCCCCCGGGCGCGCCCGCGGAGAGCGCGGACCTGGTCCGAGCTGAGCAGTCCTGGGAGGGCCAGCCCGTCTAGAAGGGGCACTTCGAGTTGGGAGACAAGCCGTCCTCGAACTCGACGGAAAACGAACTAGCACCATTGACCCTCGTGTTAGGGGTGAACTGCTCAAGCGGACTGGGGGCTGGAGCAAGGCTCTCTCCGGATGCCCTCTCCAGAATAACCCTGGTGACATTAAGAGCAGATGACGGGGGCAGGGGGGTGCGGGGGCGGAGTACTCAGGAAAGTGAACCAATTTACTCTGGAGAAGTGAGGGACTGGGCTCAGGAGTTGCGGACACCCGATTTAGGATCGCTGCTCCCACCAGGCAAACCCATTTGTATTACTATTGAGAGAATCAGTTACAACATTCCTTGGAGAGGTGGATTCGACTTATTGATAGGCGTCCTTAAAGTCGGGGGACTGCTTTAAAAAAAAAAAAAAAGACCTGATCTCTCTCCAGGTAAAAGATCAAAGCCTAGAGGCACCCCACCCTGACCATCAGCTGGTTCAAAAATAAGAATCCCATACTCTTCCCCGCAACTCCGACCCCCACCCCGCTCCCCCGCGTACTCGCAGCTCCAGCGGTTCCCGAGAAACTTCACCTGGCGCTGAAGCCTCTACCTGGCGGCCGCGTCTCCTCGAGGTCCACTCATCCGAATCCCACCGGGTCCGGGAGGTGGAAAGGGAAGAAGCTGGCACGGCCGCAGCGGGGCTCCCCGGGCATGGTATTGTTTTAGGGGTCGCCGCAGAGCTCTCTCCAACCCATCGTTGAGAACGGCCACCGTGGTCTCAGGTTCGGTGGACGCGGCGGCGGGTGCGGAGCTGCCGCCTGGCTTCTGTTTCGCCACGGGAACCGAGGGAGAGCGCGCCCGGGGCGGGGGCCTCGCGGTGTCCCGGCGCGGAGATCTAGCCAGCGACGTTCTCTCCGAGCGCGCGTCCCTCCGCAGGACAATGAGAAGATGCCCAACCGGCAAATGAAGGCGACCGGGCTCGAACGTACAACTATGAGGTACCCAGCCGGAGAAAGAGTTGGCTGCTTCTCCCCTCCCCCTCCTTTCCCTCCTATGAGGGAGGGAACTAATTTAACCCTGTGTGCGCCCCACACTCCCCCGAGAAACGGGAACCGACTAGGAAACCGCAGGCGGCGGCGCCCGGGGCGAGCGCTTTGTTCACGTGCGTTCTCCAGTGGGTGTGTTACCGTCTGGGGGCACTGGCGTGGCAAGACGCCAGGGGCGGGCTTCCAGCGCCAGACTCCGGGGTGGAAGGAGCCCTAGCGTTTTATCCCGGCCAGACCCAGCGCCCCCACCCTTTTTTTTTTTTTTTTGCTGGCTGTTACCAGATTCATTGGGGTTGCCAGCGAAGTTGGTTTTTCTTTCTTTACTCTCCCCACCCCACCCCCTCATCGCCCCACGTCCAGCCCCACCCCCCACCCCCAGCCCATTCCGATTTCCGTCCTTAGCCGCGCTTTGAAGATTCGGAACTCTCAGCCCATTCCAACTTTAGGTTTATGTATGGCGTGTGCACGAAGAATCAGGGTGGGCATCCACACACCCGCGCCAAGTTTAAATGGAACCGTAAGGGAAGCTTTCTCCTACCACCCCACCCCACCCGCACCCCTTGCTCTTGTTCGCCGGGTTCTTTTGCCCAGCGACCACACATTCAAATAACTGAGACTAGGAAGGACCCATGGAGATTGATTAAGGGGTGGGGTGGGGAGAAGTTTGGGATGTGAATGGGCTGGGCGGAAGAGGGATGTGAAAGAAAGGCTGGAAACGCACAGAGTCTCAGAATGGGATAAAGGGGGATTGTGAGGGGAGAATGCAAAGTAGAATGACGAAGCAGAAAAAATATATATAAATATATATGCAATGCCAATATTGAAAGCAGTAGGTCAACTTTAAGCGTCTGGATGTTTGTGGGCCACATTCCCCAGCTCCTGTGGCAGCGGTTTAATAGAGAATGCAGGAGCCTCCGGCTGGCTTGGCTGCCTGCAAGCTTAGCATTTTGTAAACAGTTTCTACTAAGTGCTCTGGACTCCCAAGAAGTTAACTGGAGTTGGAGGCGAGCCATCTCAAAGACACAGAATGGAGGCTTAAACGAGAAAGGACCTCTTACTGCCGCCCAAGGGAGCTAGTACTGCACCCAGAGCTCATAGTTAGACGCACACTGGACATCTTCCTGCTTGACCCGTTTCCATTCCGGACTGAAGAAAGAAATACTCAGTATTTGAAAATCGTTCGAAGGATCTTGCTAAAACTGGGTTGTTTATACATTTCTTTTGCTTTTAAGGGAAAAGCTGTGTTTCCCATCGAAAGAATGTTCTCATTTCTCTTTGAAACCTATCAACCAGTGGGAATCCCAATAAGTAATAACCATTTCAAACCCATCGAAGAGCAATCCCAACTCAAGCCGAAGAAGCAGATGGAAAGCTGATCCAGCTG